AAACTGCTTCTTTGCCCCTTTCTCTCCCTAGTTGAATTGGTGGCTGACCTGTCCCCATCTTCAAGGAGCCCACAGATGATTATGACAAGGCACCATGAGTTCCCTTCCTGGATGGGGGAAAAGAGGGTGCTGCCACAGGAACACCTAAAAGTGGAACATAACCCAGATCTGGAGATTTGGGAGGCTTCCTAGAAGAGGCGCTGTCTCAACTGAGACCTAGAGGATGAACGAGAGTCAGAGAAAGATCGTTCCAGGGGTAGGGCACTGCATGTGCGGAGGTCTGGGAGTGTGAGAGAGAATGGACCACTGGAGAATTAGAAATAGTTTAGCACGGCTGGGGATTTGAGAGGGAGAGGAGGGAAGAGATGAGAATGGCATGAGGGATGGGGAGTGGAGGGAGAGAGGCAGAGGGGAGGGGACACACAAAGGGGCTGTTGCTCTGGAAACCAGAAAGCCAAACCACATGGTCTTTTCCTTCAATTAGCAGCACCAGAGGCCCCCAAGGTCCCCCAGCTGGGGTGAGAGTCAAAGCCTTTGGGAACTCTGAGCTTGTTAGGGGGAAAAAAAAACCACATCAGTGGAATTCAGGGCTCCCCCACCCCCACTCTTTTTAAAGGAATAAATTGTCACCTTCCTACTCAATCTGGCTGCTGGCTCCCCTGGCCCCAATCCAGCCGCCCACGAATGCACTACCCTGCTGCCTCCTGCCCAGATCAGCCTTGGGACTCAGCCAGCAGGGGAGGTGGGGAGGCGTAGGGGCCACATTTGTTCACCCGGTCCCCATACTGGGCCCCAGACACTCCTGGCGGGGGGGCGGGGCGGTGGGGAAGAAAGTGTCTCACAGACTCCAGGAAGGTGGCTGCTGTGTCCTGAGGAATCGGTCACCTTCACTCCCCTCCTGCTGTCCTGTGGGTTCTGTGGCTTCCTTCACAGTGAGCCCTGGCTCTGGGAAGTGGAACTGGTGGCCCTAGGGCTCTCCTGTCTAAGCTTCGCTGTCCCTTCTGTGAGCCACTCTTGAGGCCACATGATACAGAGGAAAAAGCATTACATAATTTTTTACATTACTAATAATAGCAGTCATTCATTGGGTGTTTAGTATGTGACTCCTTGAGATCAGCCTAGGAGGGAATTGGTATCTTCCCCATTTTGTAGATGAGAAGACTAAGGCTCAGAGAAGGTAAATCACTTACTATCTTGGCTCCAAAGTGGCAGAGCCATAATTGAGACTTGACTGAGACTCGAGTCTGACAGATTTAGAAATTCCTGAACAGACTAGCGCCTCAAGAAGACATCTTCTTTCTGGTCTTAGTTTTCTCATTTGTGAAATAAACATATTAAACATCAAATTTAACAATCAAGCAAATAAGTCGATGTTTCCTGGGTGCCTATTTGACTTGAGGTCTGTGCATTTAGGTTGCTCACAGTCTGGAAGGAGGAACTCACACACTGGCAGAGTCATCGCATGCTAAGTATTCTAGAAGCATGTACAGAGTGCTTGCTCTGTGACCATAGAGGAGGAGTGGAAACTGGACAGAATGTCCAAGGGACACTTTGGGATCTGGGCTGCTCTGGGAGGTAAGAACACTGTTGCCTCGATCTCTGTGCTCCAGCTTCAGAGCTTGGATTCTGGAGTCAGATGGTCCTGGTGGGAAACTCAGCTCTTGGGGTCTCAGTTTTCTCATCAGTACAGTTGTCATGATCATAGTGCCTTCTTCACAGAAAAGCCAGTTCCAGCTCATAGGTAGGCATTCTAGCAAGTATTAGATATTATTACAGTAGAAACAGTCTGGGTCCCAGAACCTTCACAGAGCTGAGAGTGCAATGCAAGGCCCTTGGACAGGTGAGGAAGAGGCTACAGAACTTGACTCATTCCCCATCTACCCTCCTGGAGCCCTGCAGAAGCAGGTCCTGAGCTGCAGAACACTTTGCTATAAATTTCCTTTGCTACAGAGAGTTCTTGGTGTCAGGTCAGGGAAAGTAAACTTTTTGATGGTTGAAGAAGAAGAAGAAATATTTACATAGCTCTTACTGGGTGCCAGACACTGTTCTGAGGACTTCACATTCATTAATCCACTTAAACAATGAGATCAAAGGCAGGTTTAGAGAAGGGGTTTTGGAAAAAGGATTTAGTCTGGCTAAATCCTCCCAAGTCTCTAAAAGATGTCTGAAGAGTATTTTTTTTTCTTCCAAAACATAGGGGGAGGGGGAGTTGTGCTATTTGCATATATTTGCATATATTTGCCTATGCAGGGGGTGAGTGATGAAAGGTCTGGAGTAGTGGGATGAATGACCCATGACTTGTGCCCTCTTATGCCTTGCACTAAACGCTGGGGGTACCCAGAAGAAGAGGAAAAACCAAGCCCATTCTCAATAAGGAGGGCCTTGGAGGTGCATGTATTCTCATGGTCTGCAGAGGCCCACAGAGACCCTTAAATCCTTCCTACAACACATCAACATGCATGCTCCTGCTCACAGGCACTCATAAACTCACACATATTCTCTCGTGTTGAAATCACTTTCCTCTGAAGAATCTGTCTGCATAGGCTGAAACTGGGCTTTCTGCAGGTCTGGGAGCCTGAGGAGCAGTAGAACTACCACTTGGACAGTGATGACCATGGCTGGCTCAACTGGCCTCTGTAGGCTCAGTTTCCATAGCCGTAATATGGAAAGGTTGGGCTGAGTGGATTTCTAAAATCCATCCTTCCAATTCCAAACTCTGAGCTCTCCCAGGTAGCTGGGATTGACACAATCTCAGTTCCCTTATCTATAGAGTAGGAGTAAGGCTTGGGGATTGATATCTAAAGAAGTTCCTTTCAATGGTTAAGTCTTTTTTTTTTTTTTTGAGACGGAGTTTCGCTCTTGTTACCCAGGCTGGAGTGCAATGGCGCGATCTCGGCTCACCGCAACCTCCGCCTCCTGGGTTCAGGCAATTCTCCTGCCTCAGCCTCCTGGGTAGCTGGGATTACAGGCACGCACCACCATGCCCAGCTAATTTTTTGTATTTTTAGTAGAGACGGGGTTTCACCATGTTGACCGGGATGGTCTCGATCTCTTGACCTCGTGATCCACCCGCCTCGGCCTCCCAAAGTGCTGGGATTACAGGCGTGAGCCACCGCGCCCGGCCTGGTTAAGTCTTTTATCAGAACAGAAAACTGTCTCCTGGCCAATTCTGGCATAACGGCAACAACAACAGTGACAAACATGGTCGTGGTAATAACTCATTTTTCAAGTGCTTATTATATGCTAGGCATTTCTGCTGCATGAGCTCATTGAAGATCTCCAAAATCCTTGATAGGGACCCTTGTTATCCCTACTTGGGGCTCTGAGAGGTGAGGAAACTTGAGTCTCAGAGAGGTCCCATGGGCACAAGCTAGTGAAAGAAAACACCCCTGGTTACTCCCACTAGTGATTAGATTTGAATGGAATTCCCATCCTCATTATGGGATTAGTGCCCTTATAAAAGGAAGAGACCAGAGCTTTCTTTTTCTCTGCTATGTAAGGGTACAGTGAGAAGACGGCCATCTGCAAGCCAGGAAGAGAGTCCTCACCAGGTACAAAATCTGCTGGCATCCTGACCTCGGACTTCCCAGCCTCCAGAACTGTGAGAAATAAACGTTTGTTGCTTAAGCTTCCCAGTCTGTGATAGATAGCTCTGGCAACCTGAGCTGACTAGTATACTCAGAGAGTTTAGGACGGAACTGAAACCCCTTGCCCAAATGAACTAAGACTACCCCTTAATGTTACCACTAGGGATGCTAGAAAAAAAAAAAGGATACCTAGTTAAATTTGATAATTTGGTTTCAGGTAAACAACAGATAATTTTTGGTAAAAGTATGTCCCATGTAACATTTGGGGGATGCTTACACTAAAAAAGAATTTATTGGTAATTATTTACTGGTATTTTATCCGGCAACATTATCACCCCACTGTTTAAATTTACCCTAACACTATCACAGCCCAATAATTTGGCCTTATGAGAATCTCCATCCAGGTATTTCATTCCTAGTTTTATTTGAATGGGGATTGAAAAATGGTATCTCTGCCATTGTGATGATAAATAAATCCATATATGAAGGTTATTATGAGGATTAAATAAATCCACATCTGAAAAGTGCTTAGAGCTGGGCCTGGCACATAGCTAGGGTTATGTCTTAGTTGTTGTTATTGATATTGCTAATGTTATGTTTTTTAAACGATGCCTGGAAAGAACCGGGTAGAGGGAACAATCAAGACCCTCAGCCACTAAATTATAGGATTCAGAACTCTTCTCATCCAAATGGGGATCCCCCAGAATCAGCACCCCCAGCCCTTCTATTGCAAAGTAGAAGTAATTGAGCTCACGTGAAGACCCTCATCCTCCATATGGGACACTGGGGGGCCATATGCCCAAGGCGGACAGGTTCTCATCCCTGGGGATGCTCCATAAACCCCACAGGGCTGGGTATTGCTAGGTATCTGCAGAGGCAATTAGAGGGTATCTGCAGGGAGGTCATTAGAGGGACAAGTGTCCCTCCCTGTACACCTAAACTCTGGTGGCACAGCAGCAGCTCTGAAAGCTCCCTAGGAAGGCTGTCACAGCCAAGGTGGGGTAGGGGCCCGGTTGCCAAATCCCTCCCAAAACTACCATGGTCAGACCTTCCTGTAGTGTTAGAAACCGTGCAAAGCACTTTCCCCATGTTATCTTATCTGCCTGGCACAGTAGCCCAAAGAGAGTGCCATTGTGACCCAACCTTCTAGAAGAAGCTGAGGCTCAGAGAGATTAAGAAACTTGCTCTATGTCACGCAGCTTGTAAACTGCAAAACTGGGATTTAAGCCCAGTACTTTTTGTGTCTGGGCCTAGAAGAGTGCCCATGATAAAGCTAGTAGGGGGAAAGATATCAGGAGACTCGGGTCAGGGCACCCCAACCCCCCAACAGAAGCTGCCAGGCCTCACTGATGGAACAAGTTCCTGAGAGTGTACGCCTTTCTGCCTGCTTCCAGCCCTGGTCCTTGCACTTACCTGGGCTGATACTGATGTCTGTTTGTGGAAAGGCCTGTGCCCAGTGGAGGGTCAGGAAGGCTGCAGCCCACAGTGTCCACCTTTGCATCCTGAGCTCCTAGAAAGCAACCTCCCGGCCTGCGTGGGAGAGAGGCTCTTTGGCTGGAGCTTGGGTCCAGGAGTGTTCTCCTAGGGTCAGATGGAGGCTGGCAGGAGCTGGGACAGACTGGATGGACTCCAGTCCTCTCCTTTCATCTTTTCTCCTCCCTCCTCTTCACACTGCTGGAGACAGCTCAAAATGACAGCTGAAAGCAAAGCAGCCCTAGGCCAGCCCCCATCAAAGAACCAAGAGACATTTTAGCTCCTAGCCTTGCATCTGAACCAGGAGAAATTTTAGCTCTCAGTCTTGTCTCTGAGCTAGGCTGTGGCCTTGGGTGTGCAGTTCTCTCAGACTCAGTTTCCTCCTCTGTAAAATGGGATAATAACAAAACTCACATTCCAGCCTGTTATAGGAGATAAAGCATCTCACACCTCTCAGAGTAAATACATACCAGAAGGTAAGAATACTTGAATGCAGAGGTCTCCTGGGCCATGGATGCCATTTGTTTGGTCTGCAGTGTTTTAAATCCTAAAAAATTTGTTAAAGTATAAAACCAGGAGATTCTAGGCACAAGTTCAGATTTCTGTCTTCTATTGGAAAATCTGAAGATCCAACAAAACTTAGCCCTCATTTCCATGGGGCAACAATTGCATGGGGCTGAGAAAGAGCACCTCCTTCAGCCAGGCTCTTTGAGCTTCAGTTCACCAAGGTCCCCATCCCATGGGTCTGACCCTGACAGCATCAGAGGCCCCACTGCTGAGGAAGCACCAGGAAGCCTGCGTGAGTCAGCCTCCTTTCCTCTCCCTTCACCTCTCAGGGTCTCTCAGGGTCCCTCGGGAGTTAAAGGAGGCATCTGTAGAAGGTTCAGCAGAGCGTTGTACAGAATAAGTGCTCCACAAAGAGGTGAAAGTATCATCATTAGCGCATAGCTCTATTGTGTGGCTTGCTCAGAATTCAATGTTTAAAAATCTCTAGTGTTTCCATTGGGATCTCACTGCACTTTTGGAGAGCCGATATTTCTAAAAACCAGAATGTTTCTCCTTCACTTTGTGTGTCCTTAATGCAAGTCATTTTGCCTCTCGGAACCTCAGTTTCCTCCTCTATAAAATGGGGAATAGAGTACCTACCTCACAAGGATTAAATAAAGTAATTTGTTTCTAAACCTTGGCGTAGATGCTGGCAAGAAGCAGGCGCTCAGTAAATGAGAGCAACATTTGCTGCTGTTGTCATTGATCTAGTGCGAGGCTTTCCTTGGCATAACCCACATCCTCTTCCTCTGCACTCTCTCATTTCTCTCCAGAAATGCTCAGCCAGGTGCCCTGACACCTCATGTGGCTGGCACTCTCAGAGAGGACTGGAATGTGTCAGTTTGGCTTCCAAGTTTTCTCTTTGGAACACCTGCTGCTGTGCTTGTGAGGAATAACTTAACTTGTGCCCACACAGCTTGCTTTGCCTGCTGGCACCGGAGCTGCAAGTCTGCCAAGGTCTGACTCAGAATACGAGCACAGATGAGGCTCTGCTTCAACCTACGGGATGCCTCCTCGGGTAGATCAGTTGCCTCCAAACTAGTGTGCTGGTGCATATCCCAGACGATGTACATTTATTTATTTACAAATGGCACGTATTGATTACATGTTTATAAGTGATGTGTAGATGCAACTTACTGTACTAATATAGTATTTCTGTTATAAAACACACCCCCACAATGGACATTATTAAACATTGATAAAAATATAGAAATATGGAAGAAAGTTTGGAAATTTTCACCCTACTCCCTATCATCTTGTGAGCTGAAATTTGGGGCCCCCCGCTGTCAGGTTCCTGGGTGCTGCTTGGAAATTAAAAGTGTCTATCTTAGTCTGTTTGTGCTGCTATACTAGAACATCTGAGATTGGTAATTTATAATGAACAGAATTTATTAGCTCACGTTCTAGAGACTGGGAAGGCCAAGATCAAGGTGCCGGCATCTGGTGAGGGCTTTCTTGCTGAGTCATCATATGGTGGAAGGTGAGAGGGTAAAAGAGAGACAAGACACACACACACAGAGACAGAGAGAGAGCGCGCTTTCTCTCTCTAAGAGGGGATGAACCCACTCCGGCCATACCTGAGCCACTCTTGTGATAACAGCTTTGATCTATATATGAGGGAAGAGTTCTCATAACCCAGACACCTCTTAAAAGTCCTGTAACCTAATGGGACCAGTCTAGTTCAACTTTTATGTAACAAAGTTGTGAGTTGTTTTTCATTTGTTATGGACCCTCAGTAGATTATTGTAAGCTTAACCAAATGGTGACTCCAACTGCAGCTGCTGTACCAGATGTAGCTTCATTGCTTGAGCAAATTAACACATCTCCTGATACCTAGTATGCAACTATTGACCTGGAAAATGCATTTTTCACCATATCTGTCCATAGGATCCACCGTAATTTGCTTTCAGCTGACAAGGCCAGCAATACACTTTTACTGTCCCACCTCAGGGATACATAAGTTCTCCAGCCCTAGGTCATAATTTTGTTTGCAGGGATTTTGACTGCCTTTCCCTTTTAAAAAGTGTCACATTGGTCCATTACATTGGTGATATTATGCTGATTGGACATAGTGAGTAGTAGTGACCATTCTGAACTTATTGGTAAGACATTTGTATGACAGTGGGTGGAATATAAATTCAACTAAAAATCAAGGACCTTCTACCTCAGTGAGGTTTCTAGGGATCCAGTGATGAGGGCCTGTTGAGATACCCCTTCTAAGATGAGGGATAAGTTGTTGCATCTAGCCCTTTCTACAACCAAGAAATAGGTGTGACGTCTTGTGGGCCTATTTGGATTTTGGAGGCAACACATTTCTCATTTGGGTGTGTTACTCTGGCCCATTCACTGAGTGACCCAAAAAGCTGTCGGCTCTAAGTGGGGCTCAAAACAGGAGAAGGCTTGGCAACAGGTCCAGACTGCTGTTAAAGCTGCTCTGCCACTTGGTTCCTGTGATCCAGCAGATCATAAGGTGTCAGTGGCAGAAGGGGATGCTGTTTGGATTTTGGAGCAAGGCCTTTCTTCATCCACAGATAACTACTATCCTGTTGAGAGATTGCTCTTGGCCTGATACTTGGCCTTAGTAGACGCTGAACTCTTGACTGTGGGTCACCAAGCTCTCATGACACTTGAGCTGCCCATCATGAATTAGGTGTCATCTGATCCACTAAGCCGTAAAGTTTGACGTGCACAGCAGCTCTCCCTCATCAAATGGAAGTGGTATATATGTGACCACATCAAAGCAGGTCCTGAAGGCACAAGTACATTACCAACACGACACTTTGTAAAAGGGACGAGAAGAAGCGGACCAGATGCCCATGCTCCCCACTTCCGCTACACTATCTTCTCTCTCCCAGCCTGCACCTTTGGGCTCATGGGGAGTACCTTATGATCAGATGACTAGAAAAGAGAAGATTAGGGTCTGGTTTACAGATAATATGCAGGCATCACCTGGAAGTGGATGGTCTCACTCAGCAGTGGCTTGTAGCAGCACTACAGTCCCTTTCTAGGACATTTCTGATGGACAATGTAAAGGGAGATCTTCTCAGTTCCCAGAACCTTGGGCAGTGCAGCTGGCTGTGCACTCTGCTTGGAAGGAGAAGTGGCCAGATATGTAACTATATATTGATATATTGTAGCCAATGGTTTGACAGAATAGTCAGGAACTTGGAAAGAACCTGATTGGAAAATTGGTAACAAAGAAATTTGGGGATGAGTTATGTAAACAGACCTCTCTGAATGGGCAAAAAACATGGGGGTGTTTGTGTCCCAGGTGAATACTTACCAAAGGGTGGACTCAGCATAGGAGGATTTTAATAATCACATGAATAGGATGACGTGTTCTATGAATACCAGGCAGTCTCTTTCCTCAGCCACCCCATTGTTGCCCAATGGGCTCATGAACAAAGTGGCCATGGTGGCAGAGATGGAGTTTATGCGTGGACTCAGCAACATGGACTTCCACTCACCAAGGCTGACCTGGCTACAGTGGTCACTGCTGAGTCCTCAGTCTGCCAGCAGCAGAACCCAGCAATGAGCACCCAATTTGGCACCATTCCTTGGAGTGATTGGCTAACTACCTGGTGGCAGTTTTGATTACATTGGACCACTTCCATCATGGAAAAGGCAGCATTTTGTCCTTACTGGAATAGACACTGACTCTGAATATGGATTTGCCTTCCCTGCACACAATGCTTCTGACAAAACTACCATGCTTGGACTTACAGAATGGTTTATCCACCATCATGGTATTCCACACATCATTGCTTCTGACCAAGGAACTCACTTCACAGCGAAAGAAGTGTGGCGGTGGGCTAATGCTCACAGAATTCACTGATATTACCATGTTCTCTACCATCCTGAAGCAGCTGCCTTGATGGAACAGTGGAATGGTCTTTTGAAATTGCAGCCAGCTAGTTAATAATACTTTACAGGGGTGGGGCAAGGTTCTCCAGAAGGCTGTTTATGCTCTGAACCAGCATCCAATGTGGTGCTGTTTCTCTGAGAGCTTGTATTCATGGGTCCAGGAATCAAGGAATGAGCATAGGAGTAGCTCCACTCACTGTTACCCCTAGTGACCCACTAGCAAATTTTTTGCTTCCTGATCCACGACATTACATTCTGCTGCCCTAGAGATCTTAGTTCTAGAGGGAGGAATGTTTCTACCAGGAGATGCAATAGTGATTCTATTGAACTGAAAGTTCAGACCACCCCCTGGCCACTTTGGGCTGCTCCTGCCTCTGAGTCTATAGGCTAAGAAGGGAGTTATGGTGTTGGGTAGGGTGATTGGTCTGGACTACCAAGGGGGAGCTGGATATTACTCCACAATACAGAAACGGGAAAATATGTCTGGAATACAGGAGATCCCATAGGATATCTGGTAGTAGTACCACGCCTTGTGATTAAGGAGGATGGGAAACTGCAATAACCCAATCTAGGCAGAACTGTGAATGGCCCAGACTCTTCAGAAATGAAAGTTTGGGTCACACTGTCTTATAAAAAACCATGACCAGGCTGAGCACAGCGACTGACACCTATAACCCGGCACTTTGGGAGGCTGAGGTGGGAGGATTGCTTAAGTCCAGGAATTCAAGACCAGCCTGGGCAACACAGGGAGGCCCTGTCTCTATAAAAGCAAAACGAAAACATGACCAGCTGAGGTATTTGCTGAAAACAAAGGGAATACACAGTGGGTGGTAAAATGTAGTTATGAATATCAACTATGACCTGTAATAGTTACAGAAATGAGGATTATAGTTCTACGGGCATTTCCGCCCTACTTGGTTAAGAAACTATTATACATACAGGGCACCCCTCAATCCCTTGTGCATATATATACATATATTAAGCAAATATCTTTGTTTTTTCTCCTGCCTTATTCTTTCATCATGTAACATAAGATTTATCAACTTTATTTTTATTTATTTATCTTTTTCGAGACGGAGTCTCACTCTGTTGCTCAGGCTGGAGTGCAATGGCACAATCTCGGCTCATTGCAACCTCTGCTTTCCAGGTTCAAGCAAGTCTCCTGCCTCAGCCTCCCAAGTAGCTAGGACTACAGGCAGGCACCATCATGCCTGGCTAATTATTGTATTTTTCAGTAGAGACAGGCTTCACTATGTTGGCCAGGCTGGTCTCGAACTCCTGGTCTCAAGTGATCAGCCCACCTCAGCCTCCAAAAGTGCTGGGATCACAGGTGTAAGCCACTGTGCCCAGCCAGATTAATCAACTTTATATCAGCATTTAAGCATTGTTCATTGTACATCCTAGTATTTCAGTTATGAAATATTAGAAGAGTAAACATCACTCAAGAAGAGTAAACATCATTCAAGAACTTTGCCTTCTCTTCTGGGGATGGGATTAGTGAATTTGGGGTGTACTTTAGCTGTATCATGTTAGGTGGAATTATGACCTTGTAGTTGTCTTTATTTGGAGATTAAGTATGGTTTAAGGAGACATGCATGGGTGTCAGGCTGACAAGGGGTAGGCTTATGATGGTTAATTTTAGGTGTCAGCCTGACGGGACTGAGGGATGCCTAGACACCTAGGCAAGCATTGTTTCTGGGCATGCCATTTACAGAGGAGATTGCCACGTGAGTCGGTCGGCTGAGAGAGGGAGGCACCCTCAGTGTGGTGGGCACCATCCAATTGGCTGGTAGTCTGGCCGGGACAAACGGGCAGAAGGGAGATTGGCCATGTCTGATCTCTCTCCCTTCCAGAGTGGGACACTTTTCCTCTTTTTGCCTTTAAAGGGGCATCAGACTCCAGGTTCTTCGGTTTTTGGACTCTGGGACTTGCACCAGCGTTCTTCAGGGGCCTTTTGGGTCTGACTGCAGGCTGCACTGTTGGCTTCCCTGGTTATGAGGCTTTGGACTTGGACTGAGCCTCGCTCCCAGCTTCTCTGGTTCTCCAGCTTGCAGCTGGCCTACCCTGAAATTTCTCTGCCTCTATGATCATGTGAACCAATTTCCTCTAATTAAATCCCCTTCCATATT